CTCAAAAGTTCTTTCACTCACCCACTGTGAATGTGAGTGCTTTTCATTAGTAAAGGGATAGCATGAGGGGGGTTGAGGCGGCGGGGGAGGGAGAAAGTCAAAACCAATGTTACTCCAAACTTCCATATTTATTTTCACCGCAGTGGAGGAGATTACATTTTATTTCCCTGGCTCTGTCTTTGGGGGAATTGAGACACACGGGCTATAGGCAGAACTAGGGCTGTTTGGTGCTAGGACAGCACAATCTGGAAAGGGAAATGGTGAGCAAAACAAATGATTTTAATCTGCATGCCAAGCTTTCACAATGTTTGAAGTATTTAAACGATTTCGCTGTGGTTTTACTCTTCCTGTAAATGTCTGACCCTCTGCATATATATGGCCATTGTCTTTTTTCCCTGTTTAACCTTCCCCTCCAGGAAGGTGTGAAAAAAAGAAGGACTTCCCCAGTCCTTTCTAAGCCCTGGTCCAGTGCCCTCTCTGGAAAGGATGCTTTGCGCTGTATGAGGGCAGGTTTTGTAAAGAAACATCATTGTGACAACGCAAGCTGGGCTCCTTGTCCACCTCCTTCAGCTTCTCATTCTGCAAGTCTTCTGAGCCCGGCTCTGCACTCTGCAGCTTTAGCTTGGCCCCGGGGCCCGGGGGAATACTAACTTACAAGGCTTTCGCTCTGTTGCTTTTACATGTCTGAAACTATTTCAAAACTTAGCGACTGAAAATCAAGTGATTAAGGATACTTGACTAGAATGTAAGAAGTGTTTTTGTTCCCCTCCGCTTCCACCCCCCTGTTTTGGAGAGAAGAAAGTGATTGGGAATGAATGAGTGTATTTTTTAAGACATGTCCCGGCTGCTTCGGAATATCTACACAGACAAGGAAGCTGGAGATTCTAAAAGGTCAAACTAAAAATCAGGCAAGTGCTTCTAAGGCTGTGGTAGGCAAACTGCGGCTCGAGAGCCACACACGGCTCTTTGGCCCCGGGAGTGTGGCTCTTCCACCAAATGCCACGGCCTGGGCGAGTCTATGTTGAAGAAGGGGAGTAAAAAGTTTAAGTTTAAAAAATTTGGCTCTCCAAAGAAATGCCAATCGTTGTCCTGTTGATATTGGCTCTGTGAACGAATGAGTTTGCCGACCACTGTTCTAGGGGTAGATCCTAGGTGTCATGTAAATTCCACTCTATGACTCTCCAAGACCATTTTGTTTTATGACGTTTCTTGCTCTAGTTGAGTGGGGAGACTGGGTGTGTGCTGAAATGGGGAATAGGAATTCTTGCACCCCTTTTTCTGGCTCAGCCTTCAGGGAAGGAAGCAGGTGCCAGATTGGAGGGGGGGGGAGGGGTCTCACCTTCTGAAACCTCCTGGGGAGTGTGAATTTCCATTCCCCTCCATGCCTCCTAAGCAGCTGGGTGCAAATGGGGGGTCCCTCTCCGAGGGTCCCCTCCCCAGATGCAGGAGAGACAGACACTGCCCGGGTAGGGTCACAGGAAACTGGGAAGTGTCTGCAGGTCTCCAACAGCTGGAAAGATTTGCGTCTCTTTGGCAGATGTTTGCTGTTCCAGCCACTTCATTAATGTTGGAAACTAAACCCCCAACTCTTCCTGACCAAAGCCTCAGGTCGTGATTGACAGCTGGGGTGTGCTTCCCCTCACCCCCACAGTCTGAGAGCAGGAGAGAGGGAGCGAAAAGAGAGAGGTGGGAGCAAAATGGGGACTTTTTGCTAGAGGCTATTGCTAAACAACCAAAATATCAAGAAAGGAGAGACTCATTGGAGGAGAAAGAAATTCGGTGCAACCAGTTAAGATTTGAAGTTCCAACCTCTGCTTGGGTCTGTATAATTCTATAAGTATCCCACCTTTTACGCATTCATCAATTCAGGACACCTAGTGAGTGTCAGGCACATGCTAATATTGGTGATATCAGATGAATGATAACACATAGATTGTTATTGGTGATATCAGATGAATAATACAGAGATTGTTATTGGTGATATCAGATGAATAATACAGAGATTATTATTGGTGATATCAGATGAATAATACAGAGATTATTATTGGTGATATCAGATGAATAATACAGAGATTATTATTGGTGATTTCAGATGAATGATAACACATAGATTGTTATTGGTGATATCAGATGAATAATAACACAGAGGTTGGCCCACCAGGGGTTCCTTGTCCAGTGGGTGACATACACATGCCAAAGACAGTAAGGCCACTAAGACAGAAGCAGGAATCACCTTGGGGAGTGGGGAAGCCAGCAAACGTTTCACAGGGGGATGCCATTTGAGATGGGTCTTGAAGGGGTTTTTGGGGGAGAGGAGGAGGAAATAAAATAAAATTAAATTAAATTAAATAAAACCTGAGGCTCAGCTCAGCTGGAGGCTTCAGACTTCAAGATCTGGCATCTCTCCTCCCACTACCCCGGAGACTTAGGTTCTCAGACCCCCTCTCTGAGATAGCTGGTCTCCATGGCAGAAAACAGAAAAGATGGAAAACAAAAGGAGCTGTTTAATAGAAATGTCTTACTTCTTCAGCGACTTAAAACGCGGCAGATTTCAAATCCAAAGACCAGTCTGCAGGGAAATACGGGCTCATGTTGTGCCTGGAGTCCAGGAGGAGCGGGGGAGGAGGGAGACGGCTGGGGCCCAGCGACTGGAGCCTCCGCGCGCTGTCCCCTCGGTGAGCTGCGCTCCGCCCTCCGCGTGGGAGCGCCGCCGAGACACAGGGACATGGGGGCTAGCGCGGCTCCGGTCCCGGTTGGAAGAGGGGGAAGGAGGAGAGGAAAAGGAGAAAGAGCGAGGAAAGAAAAAGAAAGAAAGAACCGAAAAAGAGAAACTGGGATGTAAGATGGGGAGAAGAAGGGAAGCAAGGCCAGAAGAGAGAAGAGACTGGGGGGAGTTGGGTAGAGGAGAACGAAAGTGCCACAAACAGTGGAAGAAAGGGAGGGAACACGGGGAAAAGGGGGGGGGGGGGGGCAGTAAAAGGAACGAGAAGAGACCTAGAGAGTAACGGAACGAGGAGGATGGGAAAGGAGGGAATGGACGGACTGCAGGGCCCCGGAGATGAACGTGGAGCGCGCTCATCCCAGGAGCGCACAGCAGGGCCTGGGGAAAGCGTCCAAGCGGCCGCGCTCAGGGCGTGGACGGGGTCGCAAGGTGGAACGGAGAGCCAGGCGCCCAGGCGCTGGCCCACAAGCCCACAAGCGCTCGATCGGCCCCGATTGTCCCATTGTCTGTAGGATCCCCTTCCTCCCTCCCTACTCCCCGCCGCCGCCGCACGCCGCGCTCACATTCTGCCAAACACCCCTTTCTCCGCAGGCATCCGACATCCCCTCCTTTTCCAAGGGTCAAATACAACTCCCCACCCAATTCTGCCGTGCCGCCTGGGACCCTCAGGGTCCCTGCTCCTCCTGCGCCCAGGAGAAGCTCTAGGTCTGGGCTCCAGACGGCGATGCCGGGCGGATCCAGGCGCAGCCCCTCCGCCCCGCGCGGGAGGGATAGCGGGTCCGTTGCCGCCCGAACCGGGGCGCGCACGGCCCCGAGGGCGGTGACCTTCCTTCCGCGGGACGCGCACCACCACCTGGACCCCCGGAGCCGCCTCCGCCTGCATTGGATTAGGAGAATATAGGAAAAACGGTTGTACATGGAGAGGAGGGGACGGAGGGGCAGACAGACACCCCGGGAATGGAGTTTCTTAAAGGTGCCGCGTCTGGCCGCTAGGCTCTGATCGGGTTTATTGCTGCCTATTTTCTCCGCGATTCGTTCCTCATCTGCGTCCCTCTGCGGCGACTGGCTCCCGAGAGAGCCCGCCACGACGCGGGCCGCTTCCAGGTTTCGAGGGAGGAAACGCAGTCACCAGCTCCCAAACTCGGGCTCGGACGGAGAAGGCGATCCGCATCGTTCATTCCCGATTTCCTCCCAGCTCCGCGCACACCGGTTTGGAGACACACCGTGGGAACCCGGTGCCCGCGCAGTGCCAGGACTCCGGCAGTGGGAGCCCCCCCTGGCGAGAAGGCGGGCGGGGGTCCCCTCGCCCAAAGATCACAGCTGAAAATAAAAGTTCCTGCAGACTCTCCTGGGAACGCACTGGGACGGTAGGCGCCCCGGAGAAGAAGGCCAGCCGCTCAATCAGCGTGTGTCTTCGGCTCCCGGAGCCCTGCGGCGCGGGAAAGGGACAAAAGTCGCTTTGCCGGGAGTGTCCCCGGTCCCAGATGCCGCGGACACGCTGCCCGCGAAGGGCACGCCGGCGCTGGCGACCGAAAAAAAAAGTTTACACGTAGTTTACAAATAAAAAAGGAGCACACACTTTTGTCGGTTACTTTTTTTTTTTTCCTACAGTTTATTCCTGGGATAACGGACAGGGCAAGGGTCACCCGTGGTTTGGGATCTCCATGGGGCAGTCCAGTTTGCAATCAATCGGCCGCACACACCCCGCGCTCGGCTCGGAGGGGCGGCCGCAGGCCTCCGGGCCGCGCTGGCGGGAGTCCCAGGGACCAGGGAGCCGGCTCCGGAGCCTCAGCGAGAACTCGGCATATTCCCCCCGACTCCGCCGGTTTGAAGGCAGGGGGAGCCCAAACCGGTGTGGCTCAGTGGATAGAGCGTTGGTCTGCAGACTGAAGGGTCTCAGGTTCGATTCTGGTCAAGGGCACATACCTTGGTTGCGGGCACATCCCCAGTAGGAGGTGTGCAAGAGGCAGCTGATCAATGTTTTTAGCTTTCTATCCTTCTCTCTTCCTCTCTTAAAAAAAATCAATAAAAATATATTTTAAAAAAGAAAAAAAGAAAGAAAGAAAGGCAGGGGGAGCGGGGCCAGGCGGGTGGTGAGATGCTGGGACGCGCCGGGGGCAGCGGCCCCCTGAGGCCAGGCGGGCGGGCGGGGCGGTGCGCGCTCCCCGCACCGCGCGCGCACCCCGGAGCGCGCACCCTGCACACACACACCTGGAGGTTGTTCCGGCCAGAGGGGCGGGGAGCAGAGGCAAAGCGAGTGTCTTAAAATAGAGAGACGGGCCGGAGAGCGAGAGAGAGAGAGACCGAGGGCCGGCGGGAGGAGGCGAGGACGAGAGCGGCGGGCACGCGGCGCGCAGGCTCCCCCGACGAGTTGGCACAGGCGGGTCCCCGGCCGCCGCCGCCCCCTCGACGTGACTCCGCACCCGGCCCCACAGGACGCGCGCGCTGATTGACAGTCGCCGTGTCCCCAAAAGGCACGGCGGCGGCGATGCTGGTCTGCGGGTGGGTCTAGATCTGCGGGTGCCCGCTCCCCTCCGCGCCCCGTCAGGGCTTCGCCGCCGCCTCCCGGCTGCCCAGGCGCCGGGCACGGACCCCCCGCCCCCCGCCGGCGCGCCAGCCCCGCGGCCCGGCTCACCATGCACTGCCACGCGGAGCTGCGGCTCACCTCGCCCGGCCAGCTCAAAGCAGCCAGGCGGCGCTACAAGACTTTTATGATCGACGAGATCCTGTCCAAGGAGACGTGCGACTACTTTGAGAAACTGTCCCTCTACTCCGTGTGCCCCTCGCTGGTCGTGCGACCCAAGCCCCTGCATTCCTGCACCGGTAAGGCACCCGGCTGGGGGGACTGGGGGGGTGCGCTACCTCTCTGGCTGGTGTCTGGGGCGCTTTACCCACTCTGTCCTCCAAACCGAGGGCGAGAGGACTAGCATTAGCAGCTTTGGGCAAATGGCTAAGGCTCCTGCAGCCCGGGGAGAGCTGGCCAAGGTGTGGGACACTAGGTTGGAAAAAAGGGGGAGAAGGCAATGCGCCCCAAGAGCCGGTGGCCTGAACCACAGGGCGCTTCCTTCTTCCCAGCGCCGCCTTGGTTCTCCGTCAGAAAATTCAAACTCTTGACCTGGTTCAGCGCCGAAAATATTGTTTCAGGAAGTGGTGTTAGTTCTCGCCTGGAGTTACCTCCAATCTTCTGTCTTTTCACTGGGGAGTTTTCAAGTAAAGCGGTACCCGGAGGCTCTCCACAAAATCCTGTATTCACTGAACTTTACTTAAAAGGATCTCCCTTTGGGGGAGAAATATTTCCGGAATAGGTCGCACTGTGGTGTAAGCGGAATTAGTTTTATGTGCCTGCTAAAGTAAACCAAACTAAAATAAACAACTAAAAAAAAAACCCACACACAAAAACAACAACATTGATAACAATAAAAATATTCCTCAAATCTGGGTTTCATTCTCTGGAAGAACTAAGACCAATAGTGATGATAAAGACTATTTCATAAGTATACTGAAAAAAGGTGTAGCTTTATGTAGAAAAGAAATCCAAAGGTATTTTTATATATTTAAAAAAAAAACACTTTGAGTACATGAAGAGAATTTAGACTGTCGAAACGGTGGGATAGCAAAACAAAACAAAAGCTGAAGCAATTTTTATTTAAAAAGTTATTGGCCGTGCTTTCCTCTCAAGGTGTACATGAGGCATTTCCAAGCCAAAAGACCCTTTGAGGTTATATTTGTTGCAGAGATGGCATGACATAAATTAATGTAGTCATATTTACATTGAAAAAGTAAAGCGAAGAGCTAGCAGTGGTTCTGAAAGGCAGTTTTGGAATGGCCAGGCCAAGACCCGGGCAGTGCTTTGGAATCCTTTACTTTCTGTTGGTTCCATTGAAAGTTAGTGAATATGTGTGTAAATACGCACCATAAAGCTCTTTTACAACCAGATTGTGCCTACCTACATTTGGTTATAACACGAATATTATGTTCAGTTACACCTCCGCAAAATAAATTGTATCTGTAAGGTGAAATTAGGCCTAAAAGCCCCTACCAAAAACGTGTAATACTGAATTTTAAAAACCCAGAAACAGCCAAGACAAGAAGCAGATAAGACGTTTTAGAAACAGGATAGATTTCTTTGATGTTGATATTTTTACATCTGTGTGCCCGCCATGGATAGACCCTGGGTGAACAATCTTTATAGATGTGGGACCGGGGAGGTAGGCTGCATCTTGCGTTAAGCATACATGTAATCATTTGCTACAATAACTCAAATCCTTTATATCACAAATTAAACAGAGGGGATCTGTTTTCATCACAAATGTCAATGCTACGGTTACATACCTGGAGGTTCCCAGGACAAAACAGAACAACTTCTAAACACCCAGGTAGAGCAGAGAGCCTGCAGAGGTTTTTTGTTTTGTTTTGTTTTGTGTGTTTGTTTTTTGTTTTTAGTGACTGCGCCACCATCCATTGATTTGAAGGCAGCCTTTTCTGACTTTTAACAGTTTCGGAACTGGATCAGAGAAGAAAACATGTCAGAGAACAAGTAATAAAGAGCCTCTGAAAACAGTAGTCCAGTTACCGGTCAAGGCTAAGTGTTGTGTTTTATGGAACCTTGTGTGGGATATTCATCAGCGGGAAATAGAATGACTCATCTGATGCTGCGTGTGAAAAGAGGGCCGCGAGTATACCATGAACTGAAAGCGTCGCTCTGTTTTGTGCTTCGGATGGTCATTGATGGATCGTGAGAGAGGGTCTTGCCTGGCAGTGGTTTTCTTGCGTTCTCACTCCAGGGCTTGCTTTCTTTGTGTTGTTCTCTTGGAAATGTGTTAGGAGTTTGCTCTTGTTGAGACTTAAAAATACAGAAACTGGGATTTGCCTGTGGAATTAAACCCATAAAAACTGGCTACAATAGTCCACACTTTCAGACCCAAAGCTTTCGGTGGGTTTACGGTTACAGTTAAAGCCTTACACGCATTAGATCATGGGAATCCCATCCGTGTCTTTGCGAAGGTTTTGCAAAGACCCTGCTTTCAAAGCGTTTTGTTGCTTTTAATGGTTATGCTGAGGATCAAAATCTTAGCCTGGATGAACTTAATCTCTTTTCCTTTTATTAATTAAAAAACAACAGCAATAAGTTCTTGGCATCTGTCACCCAGAATGAAACTGTGGTTTTTTTTCTGTATCAAGATAACTAGCGCTTTTGGTGGAACCGATGCATTAAAAAATTCAAATCAAGAGAAAGGCACACGTTGGAATGAAAGTTACGGAACTTACTCATCGTTCAGTTTGCTGTTTTAAGATTTAAATAACGAACAGAAGTGAACTTTGTCAGGTCAAACAATGGAAACAAAGATACGAAAAAGTCACCACTTTTTTATATTTATAAATTATAATTTATGCATAATCAGTACATAAAATTGGGGTGGAAAGAAAGTGATCGCGTTGAAAAGGCCTCTGCTTAGCTAAGCAGTCCATGTTGTTTAGATTAGTAATTAAAATGTCAATTCATGATACCGAATCTCCTCAGGCAGAAGATCTTGAGTTCCGGTAAGCTGGGAAATGGAAACGGTTTTACATCAGGCAGATAATCAGCTGACAGTGATTTATTATTAGGCCCGCTAACCTTAATGGGAAACTCATCTTCAAAAAACAGTACTCTCCGTTTTAACAGGCCCTTTCTTATGACAAACAGGGTGAGTTTAGCCTCAGAAAGCTATTTCTAAGTAACGGCGGATCTCCTAAGTGACATTATAATCATTTGAGGGGGAACCCGGTGTGGAAAATTAAGCCAAACAAAAGGAACGTTTATTATTCCATTGAAAGCAAGATTTCAAAAACGAAGCGCAAAGAGAGCCTCCATTTGAAAACAGGTTTGGGATTCAGACCACCGTTGAGATGCGATGTGCTCAGAATTAATTTAGTGTATAACTTGTTGGTCTCCTTTTCAGTTTGATCACCTTCGTTCAGAACGGAAATATATTGCCATTTGGGAATCAGTAAGGATCACACGCAAACATTACAGCATTGACAGTGATTGAAGGCTGGGCAGAGGTGCTGCGTAGGGTGTGGTAAATACTGTTTGAGTCTGCAGAGTGTTGTCGATTCTTCTGGTTGTGATTTATGCTTCTTGGTGGGAGAGTCACTTGCAGAAACCTGGCCTCCAGGATGGAATAGACCTGTGTGTGTGTAAGGGGGGGGGAGGTCTCCGCACAGTAACTTTGGTGGGATCTCGCTTTCAGTTTGATCTTTAGACACAGGCAGAGTTTCTAAATTTGAGGGGTGTGTGGGGGGAAAAATGAATAACTCACTTCACAAAAACAGGAATGTCAGAGTTTACCTTCAGAATTTTCATACGAGGATCCCGAGAAACCAACCGGCTGTGCTTATAATTTATGATAGCTACTTAGAATTGAATGTAATTATCCATAGTATAACCTAGATATTACTGTAGACTTGCACATACACATTTTTTACGGGGCGGTGAATGTAGACATTTGAACATTTTACAACCCTTGACCTGTACGTGGCTTTTAATTATTCCACTAAAACCACAGGCCAGCCCTGGCCGGGTGGGTCAGTTGGTTGGAGCGTCTTCCTGTAAACCAAAGGTTTTGGGTTCAATTCCTGGTCAGGGCACATACCTGGGTTCTGGGGTTCGATCCCTGGTTGGGGTTGCCCATGAGAGGTAGCTGATGAATGTTTCTCTCCCCCTTCCTTCCTCCCTTTCCTTTCCTCTTTTTAAAATCAGTGAATATATCCTTGGGTGAGGATACAAAAAAATGTAAACCATAGTCTAATTCCTTCCCCCTTCTCGGGCAGAATGATCCTTGTTGAATCTCTCCCTGATTGGTCAGTCTTATTGCGTAGCTGACCAGAGGTATATAGAGGTGGAGGGGGGCATAGACCAGTGTCCCCAAAGAATACACTTATTTTGCAAAGTGCTAGAGTCATACACCCGGGGTGAACCCCTGCAGTCACCCCCAAGGCACAGACAACCAGCCAATTAAAAGGGGCATTTGGGGAAGGGTGTTTTTCTTAGCAGGTAGCATTGAGAACATTTTATCCTTTGGTGGGTCCAAGAAAAACAAGTTATCTGGGGTGGTGTCTATGGGTTCATTTTTTCTTTTCTTTTTTAATCACAAAGATTGGGTGTCATCGCAGCGAAAAATGAAAGGTGGTGTGGATGTGTATCTGACTTGGGAGGGAGGGAGGGAGCCAGCTACGGCCTCCTGGGATTGGCTCCCGTGGATTCCCCAAACCCAGCTCTGGCTTTCGGTCCGAAACCAGACCCCGTAGGTCCCTGGGAGCCGGGAGCTCGGCACTGGAATGTTAATGGAGACATGTAAACTGGGGTTTGGGAAAATGATCATTAGGAACAAGCATTTGCATCTCCGCCAGAGGCAAATAGGCTTTTATTAGCAATTACTCATCACCGCGTCTCCTGCTCCCATTGTAAGGGCACATAAATCAAGGGACTCACAGGGCCGGGGCTCAGCGGGGTCAGCCTATATTTGGGCTGAGCTCTTTGGAGATCCTCAGCTGTTGTTTTATTAGCCCTTAAATGTTATAAGTCCTTTGTTGAATAGGGCGTTCTTTAAGGAGTCCGTTTTAACTAGTGATTACTTCATGAGCCATTTCTTCTTCTCTGGCTGTGATGTTTTTTTTCTAATGAGAAAATGATTAGACGTTTCCTTCACAAGTTGCCATACCCCTCCAAACGCCTGTAATCTGCAGTTCCATTGAATGCAGTAATTTAACTCAACCAATATTTACACATGCTCGGTGATGGCACTGTGATGAGTCACTAATTTCAAGTTTCCTCTAAAACT